GCATGCAAAAATCCGAAATTAGTCATGGAGAATATTTTGAAAAACAATAAAACCAATTTCGATCCTACATATTTGTGTTTTCATTATTAGGCCAGAAATATAAATAGCAACCCTCGTATAACTTAATTATATTCATCGTTGAATCTTAAATGTTTTATTTCTTTACATATTGTACGTTTTTTAGGTTTACATGGTAAGTGTTCCTCAGCTTCCACTTCATGTGCCATTATCTTCATTACCCTTGGAGCTTGGTGGAAATGCATCCATTGATCATCAGACATGGCTTTTGCATTGCGTGAAATCCATGGCAAATCGATGCGGTGACCTCTTCGATTTTGTCTCCGCTCCCACTTCCCCATCCGCTTTCTCACCCCCAGTCATGCGAAGTAATGGATTGGCTACTCACTTATTCCACTTTGCCAGCAGCGAAGGAGAGACAGACGAGTCGAGCGAAAATCAAAGCTCCATACACGAGAAACAAAACTCTGAAGATCGTGAGAAGGAGGTTGAAGTAATTAAGGAAATATCCCTTACTGTTCAGGATGTGCAAGTACCCTCTTGCTCGCCACTTCATGAAAATTCTCCCAACGAGGAAAAGACGAGCACGCCTTCTTCCATGTCTGCCGATTCTTTACACGATGACTTAACAAGTGGGCAGAGTTTGGAAGAATTTATAGAGCATTTGCAGAGGAAAGGTAGAAGAGGCTTGCACGATGAGTATGCAGATATCAAATCTAAAAGCTCTGATGGAACCTTTGAATCTTCAAGGTTTGTACTTTCTCCCTATTATTTTTTTAAAAAAACATTTCTTCCTTTTTATTGTATTAGTTCTCTGATTGAAGTTGATATTCAATCTATTTAAATCACTGCCGTACAGACTTTTCCATTATAAATTTTTAAATTTGAATTTTTTTTTATAAAAAAGACTAGAAAAAAAGACATGGAAAGGGTGTAATAAATTAAAATTACCTATAAAAAAATGGGGAAGTAAAGGCGGGTTGTGCACAATAATGAATAAATTGCTGTAATCCTGCCTTTGGTCACGATATTGTAAAGCCATAACCTTTACGACTTATTTGGCCCACGACAGGCTGTTATAGTAATGCCTTTACACTTTTTTTGTAAAATTAAGCTGCTATTTCTGTCCATTTCAATACAAGCAGTAATGAGAACAAATTATGTATGGTGGTCCATTTTTAATGTGAAGCTTACAAAATATTTGAAAAAAAGAATTAGGTAGTATGGCAGTTTTGCTAATTATTCAGGCAACTGCTATCCTTTTAACATTGATAAGTCAAATGAAGCATATTTCTACTTATTAATTTAAATTTGGTTTTAAGGCTCCCATTATGAATTTATTATTTGATTATGTCTCTATATTTGTTTTATAAAGCATAATAAGTCTTTCAGTACCATAAATAGAAATACAGGGACAGAAGTGCTCCCTATTCATGCATGTTCCTCCTATAAAATGTAGTCAGCATATATAATGATGAGAGTTATAATACACATATTGTTGCACCAGGAAGAAGTTTACATTATAAACTAATAATTGTAAGGCATTAACTATAAGAATTTAGTATTATTATAAAAAGACGTTTAAAACAGTCATGTTAAATCATTGGTTGAAATGCAAAATTGATATATTAATATAGAATGATAGTAATATTAAATTGGTTTTTAAAGTTTTATCTATAGGTTGACTGCTATGAGATATAAAATTTTCATAAGCAATTATTGATCTCTAAACTTTTATGTAAATTTTAAATGTAAATTTAGATTTAGTTATATCATCAGTGGAATGATGAAATTTGCTGATGCTAGTGATGTTTATATGATTGATGTGATAAAATATTTTTAGAAATGCCATATTTAGACATTTTCCCTGAAAATTGAATAACAATTAAAGTGGCCATGTTCAGAAAAATTCCAAAATATCATATGTTCAATCATCAAATTTTATTGAATCTTGCTATCAGTTCAAATGTTATTCAGATTTTCTTTCATGTACTTTTCACTGTGTATATTATAGGAACATAATTATGTTAGAATTAATGCTTATACGAGACATGTTATCTAATATTTCATTAATGTATGGAGGAGTCTCACAGTGGTTTAAATTCTTTCCTTTTATTTCAAAAAACAGTTGTTCAAAGTTACTGTGGGCTGTAAAGAAACAAGGAAACAAAATCTATTTCCACCTAAAAGTTGCACTAAAAGTTCAGCTATGTTTACCAGAAGCTAAGCTATATCTAAATCATTATTATATCATTTTCAATAACAGGAATCATGCACTCTGAAATGAAAAATGCTAACTAATTCTTTAAATTTAATGTAATTTATAACTTAAATATTATCTCTTTTTATTTGTCTATACTATTCCAGTAGCATATTCATTGCTAAAAATGAAAAAGTTATGAACTCTTGAATGTCTTAGGACAAGATCATTTGTTTAATTATCTACAGAAAGTTCGAGAAAAGTTTGGTGCTCGCTTTTGGAAGTAATAGTTAGTATTCGGTTAGTATTTTGCATTGAGAATATAGAATGAATTAACCTTAAATTGAAATCAAAAGTAAAAATTTGCCTGAAGACCAAAACGAAAGTAAAAATATTTCACAACTAATAACAAAATAAAGATAAAAAGAGAATATATAAGTTGAATAAGATCACAACATACTAAGCAGCTACTATTTAATTAAATGTCAGCTACTTCTCTGAAAACTAATTAATATTTCCTTAGGTTGAAATCCAATCAGGCGAAGAATAGATATTCTGATGTCTTATGTTATGATCATTCTCGAGTAAAACTGTCTTGCGTTGATTCTGATCCATATTCTGACTATCTAAATGGAAATTTCGTAGATGGGTTTCAACAAAAAAATGCTTTTATTTCCACACAAGGTAAGTAAATTAAAATTATTTCAATTTATCCATTTGTATTTTTCAAGTTATATAATATGATTATTTATTATGCTCTAATATTTAGATCATGATGTGGTAGCAATCTGTCATTCTATCTTTGACACACAACAATAATAAAGTTTTTCTATTTTAAATTTTTATTGTTTTTCCATATGTATTGGAAAAAAGTGGGCTTTTTTTTATTCTTCTGTTTATCTGATTATTGAATATGTGAGAGAGTTTTAAAAAAATGTATGCGTCACATCTGATACCATATTTTTTTACACCACTGGAAGATGAAAAAAAAACCTAATCAATAAGTAACTTTTTTAAGTTAAAAATTATAGAACTTCTAATGTAAAATTCAGCAATTTTTAAAATTTAAGATGACATTTTTCCTTGTTTTATTATCCAGTCGAAAGCAATTTACAAAATTTTGAGATTAATATTAGTAAATAATACCTAGATATGATGCCTCGTCAGGTTAAGCAATTGATTTATACTTTGTGTCGGCATTTCTGCCATTTACGAATATTATATTTGTCGTTAAATGTCATATATATGCCCATAATTTATAAAAAAAAAGTTAAGCAGTTCTAATAATTTTTGTTAAAGTTATCAGTGTCATTTACACCTACACCATTTTTATAGTAACTCTCATTATTTTAAAAATGCGGTGTTATTTTAAGTAAGTAAGTGTAAATGCCATCAAGAGTTATTTTAGCAAAAGATATTAGAACCGCTTGATTTTTTTTAAACTGAGTTATGTGCATTTAAAGTCCACAAATATGATATCCTTAAAAGGTAAAATTGCCCATTACACATTATTATTATTCATTCTTATTATTATTCTGAAAATAAATAGGTGTTTTATGAATTATTATTAAACTTTTAGGACCATTGCCCAAAACATTTCCAGACTTTTGGAGAATGATTTGGGAGCAAGTAGTTGGTGTCATAGTGATGACCACACGGACTATTGAGCGTAGTCGAGTTAAGTGTGGTCAATATTGGCCCAAAGATGAGGGATGTAGTGAAGAGTATCTTCCTTACATTGTTCAGAATGATGGTGTGGAGTACTTCAGTGATTACACTGTTACAAATCTGAAAATAACAAATATGAAAGTAGGTTTCTCACTATGGTTGCAAGTTACTTCTTTTTTTTATCTATTTATATTTCACCTAAATAAAATTTTATCAAATTAATTTTATATCTTCACTAATGAAAGAGAAATTTACAATAATCAGGAACTTAAAGATGCCAGAACTTACAAAGAAACATACATGAATCAAACATGAATTGTAGGTCAAACATGACTTTGAACTAAGGGTAAGAAAAAAATTCTGATACATTTAAAAAAAAATATTGTTTTTCTCGGGAAATATATTTTACACAAATTCCACATTTTGTGGCAATTTATATTTGCCACAAAATCGGGCACCCTGATCGTTCATAACTTCCAGGCCCACGACGGGCTGTTGTGAGAATGCTGAATTTTTTATAAAATCGGCATTATATGAAATTTTTCTAGTCTTAAAAATTTTGCATGGTCTTAAAAATTTTTGTCATTAGATAATTGATGATGAGTAAAGAATTATTCTAATGCACACGTAATATATACTTTTATTATAATCATTTTAAAGGGAATGATTTTTTTTTTATTTTTGCTTAAATGGCACTAATAATCTTGAAATAATACATTTACAGTAGAGTCTATAACGAAGTTAATTGATACCAGTTAAGAAATTCAGTATAGATACAATTTTCTTGTATGGAGGTTAGAGATATTTTAAGTCGTTTAAGAAAATATTACCAAAATTCTGATAATCAGTGTCATAAGTTCAAAAGTTTATAATTATGACTTTTAATTAACAATGAAGTTTTAATATTATAAATTTATAAAAATCGTTCCTTTTCATTGTACAAATAAATTTCTCAAAAGTGAAGCTAAGTCATTAATTATGAGAATATATTTTAATATGTACTAATAATTGAAAAATTGCATGTTTTGTGATGTTACATATTCATAAAACTAATAATTTTCATCTCTTTCATAAAGCATTAAAATGTAACTTTCTTCAAAAAGATAAATGCCTGAAACATTTGCAAATAGGAACACAACTACTTTATATTGAGAATATTTGGAATGCTTTATAACATTCCACTTTAAAGTTTTATTAGTTATAGGGATCAACTTGCTTGCTTTTGGGAAACTACTGTGTTTATTTTATTTTATTTTTTGTGCCAAGAGAAATCCAGAAATTTTGAGTTTTCGCAATGTTAGGAACGTTTTTGTAGTGTCTAGATTTCAATATAGACAATTTAAATTATATTTACCTTTATTAATTAATTTAAATTTTTTGAAAAGGAAAAAAAAAGGAAACGAACAGGAAAGTAAGTTATTAAATCTTATAGTGAAAAAGCTTCATAAACAAAAGCTTCATAGCTTCGTAAACAAAGCTAAACAAGCTTCATAAACAAAATAAAAAATACTCTTCAAGGTATGTATGAATTTCTAAACAATAATCCAATTAATGCTTAGAAATTCATACATTTTTACTAATCGGGAATTTTGGTAAGGATTAATAGGGAAGTTAAAAGGCAGATACTTGAAATACATTAAAGAAGAAATAAGCAGTTCTTAAATTTTTTTTATTAACATAATTAATATTCTTAGTAATATTTCTTACTGTATTGAACTTATAGTTTTGTATTTAGATTGCATTTTAACTTGAAAGAAAATTCAGTCAGTGTTTTTAAATGAATATTTTCCTTTAGACAAATAAAACTCGCCAAGTATATCACATGCAGTTTACCAGTTGGCCAGATTATGGTGTTCCTCATTCAGCTTTAGCTATGCTTGACTTTAGGGATAAAGTGAGGAAAAAACAAACTGAACATGTATCTACAATTATGGATGAATGGAAAGGACATCCAAAAGGTCCTCCCATAGTAATTCACTGTAGTGCTGGAATTGGCCGAACTGGTAAGTATATAATAATATACAATTAATCCATAATATTCTAAATAATAAACTTTTAAGTGGGTGTGCACACTTTAATGGATTTTCAGCTCTTGAAATATTGTAATATGTTATTCACATTAAAATTATACCTATCACTACATAAAACTTCCTTATTTAAAATGACTTGTATCTGTACATGCTCAGACCTGCCAACTGTTCAAAACACAACCAAGTTCTAAGCTTTTCAGCCAGATTCCATACTCACAGGTTTATTTATATTTAATTGATGACGATAGAAAGATGTCTTCTCATAGTGTGTATCTATAAAATTGATCCATTATATGTGTTGTCTCGGCAGTCGTGATATTCTTAAATTTCTCCACGGAAGGCATGGTACAACTAAACTCCTGACTGCATCTAATTATAGCATCATTTGCAGATGACATTGTTTGGGTTTTTCTACGCTTCTTGTAAATGGATCTAAGCCAACTTGTGTGTGCTATACTAGCTCTCACTGCTTAGTTTACCCAACCCTCTAGTCATGTTGAAGTTTTCTCTGTCTGTGCTCTAAGCACGAGTAAATATCTGGTTTATAGTGTTTGTTTAAATTTAATGCATAGTTTTTGTTTCCTGCAATTCAAGATTTTAAAGTTTCAAATAAACATAATGTTCCATTTTTCTTCGGACATTTTTCTGTTTGTCAGAAATAACCACGCTTTGCTATAACTAGCTTACGATGGAATGTCAGGTAATTTAGCTCTCAATTTTCAATTCTCTGGCTTTTATGCCCTATCTCAGGACCTCGTGTCCCCAAATTATTTTCTTAGGCATTTTTTCCTAACAAGTGTATAAATCAACTGACCCTGCAAACTTTGCATATAGTACCCAAAACTCTTCTCCAGATCAGTTTTTTTTTTTGTAGCCCGATTGACTTATCATTAATTCCTTTTTAGAACCTCTCGAGAATTTCCTAAATGGGAAACCATACCAAGAATAGTTTCCGAAAAGTTTTTAAAGTCAGTTTTTTTTTAATAATTTATTTTTCGTTTATTATTTTTTATGGGTAAAAAGCCTGTACTAAAATAAATTTATGTAATTTATTTATTTTTGAATATTTATTATTGTTTTGCTTATTTCTTAGGTTGGCTTGCCTACTATGTACTTATGTAATTTTAAGAATTACTTTTAATTTATTTTTATAGACTTTCAAACATGGATAGTAATTGTTACCTTAGAGATATTATCGATGTCATAGTGATTTGTTATAATAGATCTTCAAATTATAAATATAGATAGTAATTACCTTATAGATATTATCAACATTATGGTGATTTATCATTATAGATCTTAAAATGATATGTATGGATGGTAATTGTTATGTTATACATATTAGCATACATATTATAGTAATTGTGATTGCTGTTCCACTATCTTGGAATCCATTATTTTTATAAGATTATTTTGAACTTGCTCCAATTAATAAAAATTGTTCAAAAAGAAAGATTTAAAAAAATGTAATATAATGTTAATTAGGACTCGAGTAAATAAAACAGCATAGTATTTAAAATTTTTTATGCATTATTTTAGGTACTTTCATCACCTTGGACATTTGTATTTGCCGATTAGAAGCAACTAGCCTTATTGATGTGCGCACAACCGTTGAAAAAATTCGCTCTCAAAGAGCTCTTAGCATACAAATGCCAGACCAATATGTTTTTTGTCACCTGGCTCTCCTGGAATATGCCCTTAGTCATGGACTTTTGCAGGATGTGGATTTATCTGGGTTTAATGATAGTGATTCAGAGTCTGAGTAAAATACATTGTCCACTTTTCAAAAGTGGCATGTTTATTTATTTAAATAAGCTTTATTTTTACCAAGGTCAGTGTAAACACTGTTATGCTTTTGTTATGCTGCTGTCCTATTTATTTTTTTAAATGTGTTATTGCCAAAAAAAAAAAAAAACTTGCAGCCTTTTTGTGTGAAAGTTTCCTGTTTGTGCTCATTAATAGATTCTTCCCTGAGGTAGCTTTTTCCATACTACTAGTTTACTTTCATGTTATTTGTGCAAATATTTGTTTTTGAATGCTTTTCAAAACATTTTGTAAATTATGGTTTCAGCTATTTATAAGTTTTTTATTTTTATACAAGCATTGAGTGTATGTTAAAATATATGTATATTTGCTTAAGATTTATGCAATTATTCCAAGAAGTAAGCAATTAACAGCAACTGCCTGTTACTTTAATTATTGATGATTTAGAAAATCAAATCAGTTATATAAATTACCGTATATAAAGTAATGAGTAATTTTGCTGCATTCTGCTAGAAACTAGAAAATATACTTTCTCAAAATTTTAAAATTAGTTACAAAGTTAATTACAGATGGCACTGCTAACAAAGAAAAACTGTAAAACAACGCTACCAAGCTGATGTCATTTACATAATAACTTGGCCTGGTCTAAGGACAAAATTACTACTTGTCCCTGCAAATATAATTAAAATGGTTGCAGCAAAAACAATTATATTTAGTTTTTATTTTCAATTTTGTTGTGCCATCTACTGACAAAGTTTGTAACTAATTTTTAAACTTGAAGAGAATAAATTAACTTGTTGCCTAAACAGAATGCAGCAAACCTTACATTACTTTTTTCTTCTATCTGATATTTTAAGTTGTCACCCAATACCATGAAAATAAATACCTAAAAGTAAATAAATTATGGTAGAACCTCGATTTAACAACCTTTGTGGGACTGGTCACAAGCGTAGTTAAAAGCGGAAAGTTGCAATATCGGGGGTATGAAAGTGTAACTTATATAAAATAGCATAATAATACATATTTATCTTCTTATTTACTATGTAAACTAAAAATGAACAAATTTATTTTAAAAATTCAATATGATCAATTGATATGATTTTAATAAAATATTTAAAACTTATATCATTTAGATTTAAAAAAAAACACAGATCTTTTCATTTGTCTTGAATTCCTCAATTTTAATAAATGCAACGAATTTTCAAACATCTCATTTGTATCTATCTCTTTTTTTCTTGACCTCGGGGGAAAAAAAAATTGAGATTCTGTAACATAACCACACCGTTATTATAAGATGGAGAAGATGTGCCACATTCAGCTACATCTTCACCACTGCTTTCACCGAAAGATTCCATAATATCAGCGATTGAAGCGGACTGTGTCTTGCAAATTAAAACATTGCTGTCACATTGCGAATATTCTAATAACTCTGCATTATCCAGCTCTAACTCATTCTCCAAAATAACATCAGTGACAGCATCAAGCGCCGTTTCAAGAGGTCACACCACCGAAGGAGTAGAAAAACCACCTTTTAAGTTCCCAATGACATCTAACGGACCTTTTTCCATTTTTTGATTGATAAACAGACCTTGGTGTGAAAAGAGAATAGAATATGTTTCATTAATCAGTGCAATACCGGCTTAGAACCTATAGGGGATCGTGGAGTAATGTATGTGCATAATGGATGCCACCTCAATACGTGATGACTCACTAGAAAGATGAAGTCCCCTTCAACAAAAGCGATGTGATCTTTTCACTTGTCGGCGTTGAAGGAAACTTCGTTTGCTACCATCCTCAACGCGAGAAAAATAAAGAAAACATGAAATGTATCCATAGTTGGGTAAAAATACTGTAACTAAGTACGTCAGTATTTCCGGGTAGTAGTTAAGGAAGGCGCTTGTAATACCGGTCTTATTTTACATTATTGATATAGAAAATAAAATACCAGACTGAAATGATGCCAAAAGAGGGAAGTTTTTATTAATGGAGTGGCTGGTTAAATCGGAGTTCTACTGTATTGGAAAAGTTATCATTAATTTAATTCTTACTCTTGAAAAGGAAGTTCTAATTTTTACATAAAATTTATTACAAAACCTGTATATAAATATAAATTTTTTCTTTCATTGAAAGCTACAACAGGGATGTTGATTTTCATTTTATAATTTTGTTTGCAATGATTCTATTCCTATATTATCAATGGTACATGTTTTTTTTAAACATCATAATATTACTTATAAATGTCTTTAAATGCACTTTGCTAGTAGTTTCATATAACATATGCTATGTACATTGTTAAGCCAACTATAAAAATACATCTTATGTATATTTTTGGTAAATATCTGAATTTATAAAGAAATTTGAGAAAGAAAATTTTGTTTTATGATGAATAGAACATATCAAGCTCTTAAAGCTTTTGAGAAATAGCAGTGTGATTTTGTTTAAGAAATTCTTTAAGACTCAATTTTTTATTTTGATAAGACTGTAAAAGATATATATATATTTTCCTTCTGAATTTTTATTGTGATATGTGTCATATTTACACTTTTGTTTATCATTTATTTATATTTCATTATTTAAAAGTAATCATTTTCATTTTATCTGTGAAATTTCATTAACTGTATTTGAAACTAAATGCATGAATATAAATTGCAGAACTTTTGCTATAGTATTAATACTTTCTACAATAGTCACACTATTTGCTTTATAACAGGAAACTAACTACAGATGCATTTTCTTGTCCTAAAACAATTTTTAAAATTATTATTGTTAAAATGCCTAGCTATAGTTATGTTTCACTATTTAGAAAACTTGCGCATTAATAACTAACGCATTGTCCCATAACTTGCGCATTAATTGTAATAAATTTGTATATAATCTAAAAATTTTCACATTTGGGGAATTAGAAATACCAATTACATGCATAAAAGCGGACATTCAATTAGTATTTAAGCTTGTTTTTGCTAAATTTTAAATTCCCTTTTTTTAGAACAAGAGGATGAAGGCATACAATATGTCTCCTTATTAGGACCCAACAACTTAAATGGCCCTAAAGTTGCAAACATTTTTTTTTATATACTATGACATTAATTTACTGTAAGTATTTATAAAGACATTTCTACTAAATCAAAATAAAGAAGGGGAGAGCAAAATACATCTAATTGCCAAAATTTGTTATTCTTTTCAATAAGTGCACAATCTATTGTTTCTTAGTCACAGTCTATTTTTAGCATCTTTCTAAAAGCCTGTTGAACAAATTTTAATTAAATTTATGTAAAAATGTTCATTATCATATCCTCATAAGTTTTCATAATTTTCTTTTAAGACATAAAGATTAATATCAAAAATAAATATCATAGAATTTGTTTTTTTAAAAGTTCTTATAATTATTAAAACTTAATTTAATAATCAGGGTGAAAATTTGGAATTAAATTTGGACTACTTTCTGATTGGTTAGCTCAAATTTAAATTGAAGTTAACTATGTGTTGGATGATAATACAAGTTTCAATCAGTTTCTGATTGCTACTAGCAGACTTTGTCACCAGATATAATTTATCATTAATCAAAATAATTTTCCACCCACTTGCTACAGTGTTCAAATTACAACTCTCTGCTTGAAGAAAATACACAATTACAAGTATAATTACTTGCCAATCAAAATTTTGACTGCTTCCTGACATAAAGAAGCTTAAGGAAGAAAGAAAAAAAAAACATTTTGTTCTTTTATTTTATCTCTATTATTATTATTCAAATTTTATTTTAATAAAATATACTAAATCTTCCTTTTATTCTTTCATTATATTCAAGAAAAAAATTGTTGATTGATTTACATTCTGTTGTTTTGGATAAAAATCTTCACATCAATTTGTGAAATATACAGTAATATGTGAAGTAAAATTCATAATTAAAAATATTTTAACTAGGCATTTCAATTATAGTCTAAATATTATTTAAATTTTTTTAATTGTTTATTTATTACAATTAATTTAAAAAAATAAACTTGTGTAAGGTACATTAAAATAATCGTTATAAAATAACCTTGCATGGCATTTTATTAAGAGGATCTTATTGTAAAGAGTTCACTTGTAATCTTGAGGTTAAGTATTTAGAGTGGAGTGTTCAAGAAAATTTATGCAAGTCATTTTTAAATATTTTTTGTAACTTGTTTTACTGATTCTTAACTATTATAAAATACATTTAAAAACAAATCTGATATATATTCACCTGTGACATTTAAATGTGTTAGTGAGTGGTATTAATAAATTCTTTTTTATTATAGAAGTATAAAATTTGTGCACTTTTAAAACAAACTATCCTTTTACACAAGTGAAAAAAAACATATTAAATAAATTAAAGCTTTTGATAACAGTAATAACATTTACGTTTGTACATATTTCTCTTTTTCTGTAAGGAATTAAATGTTTCCTCGTCAAAAACTGCCAGCTACTGTCAAACTTATCAGTACAAATTTAACTTATCAGTCTTTGATTAATAAAATTGGTAAAACCAAGAATCCTTTTATCTAGTACATAGTCTAATTTGCAAAATGATGTATAATATTGAAAAGTGAAAGAAACAGTTCTTGAGAGCAGAAATAGAATTTTTCAAGCATTGTTTAAGCAATTATTAGCTGTTTATTTTTTTGTTATTAATCAATTTTTAGAAGTATATTAATAATATAATTTTAAAATCATTTGTGTATAATAAAACTAATTATAACTTTTCAATCATCACAATAAAAATCTTACAATTGTGTTGATATAAATGGAGTATATAGTTATAAGTTTACTTGTTTAGAAATATAAAACATAATGACGTTTTTTTAAAGTAATGACTTATGAAATTAAACATTTTCTAAAACAGGACAAATTTCTAAAATGTTATAATACATTTATACATATTTTAAGTTAGGTTACAACTGTAAACATATTATATCATATAATTTTTAATTTCTAAAAATTAAATACTAGTTTTTAAGTTGCTGTAAATTTCTATTATACGGTTACTAATCATTGAACACATACACAATTTAAAAAAATATTTGATCAATTTTATATGTTAAATTGTTAAGCCATTTTAGGTTAATATGTTTTTTAAAATGTTCATATTTTCTTTTATTCATTTTCTGGTTTATTATTAACTCTCTAACAATTATGTTTCAGGTCTCTTGAAAAACACAAATTAGTTGAAATTTCTCTAGCTATTTACTGTGGTCGAACTAACTCCTGGTAGCTAAAAAAATTAAGTTGTGTTTTCATTGAGAGGATGCAGAAACATAAATTAAATTGAATTTTTTTATCTTATTCAATAATATAGATAGAATCTGGTTTTTGTTACAAGAAAAACACCAGCTAATAAAAAGGGTTAATACAGAGGGTTAATGATACAGTTTTTCTGCTACATACAATGTTCTACTATTTTTTAAAATTTATAATTAGGCATACATTGTAAAATTAATCCAGAACTAACAAAGACACATCTTCTAGCATTTCATTTCATTTTATAACCGTCATTGAACAGCTTACCCAAATTTTCAGTTTACGGCTACCACTATTCAATTCCGTAGCCTTGTAATTTTGAACCCAATCCAGAAGACAAGACCTCCTGGATCAGTATCCTCAGAGGTATTGATTTGTTATGGGAACTTGGAGGGCTTTGTGATCCTGGCAGATTTAATGTGCACCAGTTTACCATTTAATATGCGAGAATTCTTCAGGTGGATTCCCGTTCTCATGAACTTAAGTCCAACGCCCTATCCCGGCGCTTCTAGCAACCATTGAAGTTTCTTCTGAGACCATATTGTCCATTAACTATCGAGTAAAATCTAAATCAGATTACTAGTGTTGATCAGCCAGCTGATATCAGATGTGCCATTATCGATTTTCAAATTTGTTGCTCCGTGTAATTTTGAATCTAACCTAGATGTTAACTCCTGGATCGAGCATTAGGGCAAACTTTTTGCTGTGAAAATTGTTTAATAATTGTTGTGGAAATTGTTGTAAAATCCAAGAAAGTCTTGATATGGTAATCAGACCATCACTAGGGATTAGAGCATTATGATCTGGGCAAATCAAGCTGCATACAAATCGCTTAACCATCTCAAATTATTGGAAGTTGGGTCACCTCATTGGGAGGTTAAATTTTTGACTACAATGGTCTTAGAGAGAGCTTCATTCAATTCCCCAGAAAACATTCGCTTGTAAGAATAATTCCTTATCTATAAAATTATTTTTGTTTTTCTAAATTACTTAGGATGGAAAATTGTTTAATAATACTGTCATTTGTATTATGTGTGAAGAAAATCCAGGAAAGCCTTGTATGATAATCATACCATGACTAGGGATTAGAGCATTGTGATCATGGTGAATCAAGCTGCATACAAAACATTTAGCTATCACAAATGATTGGAACTTGGGTTACCTCGTTGGGGGGTGTAAATTTTTGACTCTAATGGTCTTAGATAGAGCTTCCAGAAAACACTCGCTTGTAAGAATTCTTTATCTATGAAATTATTTTTGATTTTTTTTTTCTAAATTATTTTGGATGAAAAATTCAGAAGTTGATATTTTATCTGTATTATATTGTTGTAAAACATTCAGTGTTACAATACAGGCTTTACAATTGCTGTTGTAAATGTTGCATTGTTCCATTATTTTTGTAAATAAATTACTTTTAATATTTAAATATATTCTATTCTTCTGTGTTATACATTGTTCTTGATGTATAGATTTCTGTAGATGTACACAAAATATTTATTACAAAAAATAAATAAAAGTAATAACTGTAGTATTTTTCTAATACAATTAAATGTTATTGATGTATTATGTATGTTAGTATTAATTGGTAGGTGATACTAGAATTATTTATTACTATTTGTCCAAAATTAGTTTTATTTTTTTCTAAATTTAAGTATTTTTAGAAACCACAAAACATTTAATTGAAAAAGCAGATATTTAAAGACTAATTTTTCATACAAGTTTTCTAAAATTGAAAATTTTTCATACAGTTGTAAAAGAATAGGAAAGATATGAATCAATATCAAACTACAGTATTTCTAAACCTTCAATCAATCACTGCCATTCTAATATAGTGCAAAATTTTAGTTTTATATTTATAGGAATTCAATCAAGAGCAAGAAAAAATTCTGTTGATAAAAAAAATTTTAATAGGGGAATCTAGTTAAAAATTACTGAAGAAAGCTTTATATTTTAGCATTTGGTATGATAGCTTAAAAGTAAATAAACAGTTACAATGAATAAATATTTAATGTAAATAAAATGTAAAACATATCAACTGAAATTGGTTTTCTAAATTTTTTTTTTTTAGTGGATGATTATTTTTTTTTATAAATGTAAAACAATTTAAACTTAAAACTAATTTTTTTTTATCTAATCAAATTTATATTTACTCACTTTTTTTCTTGTTACTATTAAAATATAAATGTGCACATGTGTGTACTACTGTATAAGTGTTTCTTTTTTTAAAAAATTATTTTAAGTGTAGTTGCATAAAGTTCTCAAATTTGTGGTTTTTAAAAGAATTTATACTTCAACAAAGATTCAAATGTTGTGTTTCCTAAAATGCTTAATCTTATTTTATCTTAAATTTTAAACAACTGTTTTGAAAGAATCTCTCAATTCTTAAGAGTTGTGCTTTGTTAAAAAATATATACCTTTGAGGAATAATTTATACTCATATTTTGAGCAAATTTCATACATTTTTGTTAATGAATTGTATTGGTGACTTTTCACATTTCATCAAAAATAAAGCATGTTGTTTATTTGTATTTTGTTTCTTTAACATTTAAGTAGAACATTACAGCTTACAATGTATGTTGAGCAAAATTTGCTGATTTATAGAATTTAACATAATCATTGATTTCAATCAAAAATGAGATAAAAACATTAATAAAAAATGGATGACTATATATATTTCATATTATTAAGGACCATGAACTGAAAAATAAAGCAGTGTTTTAGAAAGAACGAACTTCCTTTCATCATGCATTTGAGAATACAATGAAAGAAAAGAGGATTAAGAAAAGTGTTGGTAACAAAATTTAGAGTAAAAATGGGTTATGGGTAAAAAACTGTACAAAAACATAAAATTACCTGAAACAGTATCCCTTAAGTTTCAGATAAAAATTTTGATTTTTTTTCATTCACATTAATTAATAAAAAAATAATCAGGCTCTGAATTTTAGTTGACACAGGAATTAATCTTTGCATCTTGAAACTGGATAAGGACAAGTCCCAATTATGTTTAGCTTTTAAAAATTTAAATATTTCTTGACTGGTAACATATCAAAGGTGGTCATTAACCATTTTTTCTAATAACTTTCATTTGTCCAATATAGTCATAAAAAAATACTATAAATGTCTGCTATCATAAGGCACATAAAATATTTTGTGATATGCGGTATGGTCTTATCAAAAGATAGTATAAATGCAAAAATAGTAAAAATTATTTTTAGAGTCGAAAGTTAAATTAGAAAAAAAGTTATTTTAGAAAAAACTAAGCATCTCAAACAAACAAACTTTCTCATTTTTTAAAGCTAACTAATTTTTATGATATAAAATTAAATGCAAACTTAAACAAAAACCTATTTGTTTATTTATTTAAAATAGTTCTATCATTCACAATTGGTAGATTTGTTTTTACTCATAATAGCTGTAAAGGTCAGTTTTTTTTGTTGTTAAATTTTATTCATTCATCCGGTTTTTATGATGCCAACACAAGTGGCATTTCTGCACCAAAAAAATGACACCGAGTACCTATAGTTAAAATTGTTTTTTAAAAAAATATGTACCTTTGATAACATTTCGAAATCAATGAAAGTAACCCCTAAGAACGATAACCTCCATTAACGACCATTTTATGGTGGTACAGAGAGGGGTCCTGAAAGGTTTCACAGCATAAAAATTTTTCCATACCATTTAAATACCAGATTATTTAATAAAACCAGTTACCGTAATTGAAGAACATGCAACATTTTATGGTGAATTTGCGAACGTAAGTTTCAGAACATATTGAAACATGAGAATGCTATTTGCAAATCATCTTTATCCAAAGAAAACCATGTAACCTAAATATCTTGCAGAATAAAGCGATTTTTTAAACAATGAATCATACAATATGCAACATATTATTTCAATATCTTATTCTTTAACATAACATATTTCAATGTTTTTAACACACATATTGTAAATTATAGAAAACCTTGTGAATGTGCATTAGAAATACTATAGTACAATCTACATTTTATTTTTTAAGCACTTTTTTTGTTTCTTCAACTTTCTTGCCTAGAAGACTCGATTATAACTGTAAAAATGATCATCCCTAAAATTTTGTATATAGCTATAATAAGTTATGTAAATTTGATTTTAGAATGAAATCCTCGTATAAATATAGTAAAAGCAACAAAAGAAATCTAAATAATGTGAGATAAAAAGTTTATGTATTTACTTTCTAAAAGCTTAGAAAATCATATATAACTTATAAATCATTCAAATTTTCTTTTCAAAGGAGATTAAAAGAAAAAAAACTTTGCTTTTTGGACAGAATATTGTTAAAAATTGTCTATTGCCTAGAAACTTCGAGATATTTTCTTTTAATTATCAATTAAACCTCTCCGAGAAATCACAGAATATTATTTAAATTATTTTTTTTTTACAGTCAGAGCTTGGTTGCTTAGCAACCGAGTAAAATTAAGTATCCCTCTTTTGAATTAGTGTATGGGTCATCTTAAAATATTCATTTGTGGCGGCGACTTTTGTTGGCTGTTTTTTGGACTATCCCCAATTATATAAACCTTTATTGCGACCCAATTTTTTCTGTCCCCCCTATTTCAAGGGTTAGGATTCCAAATATGTAAAAAAAATATATATATGTTTATTCAGAGATAGTACGTTTTTGTGTCTGATTTTGTAACTTAGTTAATAGTTAGCACTAATTAATTAGTATATTTGAGGTCACCGCCAGGAACCATTAAGATTGACACTTAGTACGTGAAAACCCGATCATTAGAACAAAAGGTATTCAGGGGGATAACTTTTTTTTTTGCAAACTGTACTGTAACATAATAATGTATTTAACTTTAATTTTTTATTTAAAGACAGATCAATGTTAAAATCCTAAAAAAGTAATAAACTTAAGAATCTAATACAAACGTCGAAACATTTTTTTCCGTCTGTATTGTCTTATTTTAACCTATTTGCAGATACAATGTGTAAAAATATTTGATAATCGTAAAATTATAATAAATAAAAGAAATATCATAATTGCTAACACTTTTGTCCACCCTTTTTGTAAGTTCCGTGATCTACAGCTTAAGTAAAATCATAAGTAACTCTGATCTAGATGATAAAGATCTTCAGTATAGAAACAAACAATTTAATAAATTTCATTAACTTCATGTAAAAATAAAAGTACAAATATTTAATCATTAAATAGTACCCAATACACTTTTTAATAGAAGTAAATTTCTCTCATCAGAAGATTGGTCAGTTTCAGGAACTTCTGTGTCAGTTAAAACAGTTCTATTTGAGAATTCTTTCTCCTTGCCCTCATCAGTCTCTGAGGAATTCTTCTTGCGTTTCTTTTTTTCAATACCCCGAGAATAGAAATTTACTTCTCTTTTAACTTGAGCAATTTCTGCTTTCATTTTTTGTACTTTTCTAGATTTTTCATATGCTTTCTTTTCGCTTAAGTGGCTCCATTGAAATCTAGAACACAGTTTCGATAGAATAAAAAACAATGAACTTACTTTATTTCTACTAACTTACTTTACTTACAGAAACTTTAGCACATTTTAACATTGATTTAAAATACAGAACATGTCTAATAATATGAAGAAAAAAGGTTACACTAGTCGTTTATGAAAAAGGTATTGTTATGTAAGAAATAAAATATTGGGTAATATACTTGTCTTAACAACATTTTCATTTTCTTGCCAACAAAATTCCCATAGGACTTTCAGTTAACTTCTTATAGGGCTTTCAGTTAACTTTTGAATTAAAAATCAATGAAATGTCTGAACCAAATTTTTAAATTCTTTAGATTTAATAAATATATAATAGCTCTTGTATTTCTTATTCATTCTAAATTAATATCAATATTTAAATTACAATAATTATGCTGAATTTTTCGTTAAAGGAGTGGGAAATTATGAAGCTTTAATTTACTATTACATTTTTAGCAAAAAAAAAAAGAAGTACACTTGATAAGCTAGGCTGATAAATGGGCCACTAAAAAAATTCTTTTTGGCTAAACTATCTGACACTGAAAATGAGGGAGATCAAAACTTAATAGATTGACTGCCTAGAAAAAAAAAAACAGAAAACTATTTAACTGACTGGGAAACCTTAGCCAAGCACAGGTGAGATGGGATAGCATTCCGAGGAAGGCCAAGGCCTATCTAGACCAGTCATCCCAATGAAAATTTATTAAAAGTTAATTACATTTATAAAACAGATTGTTCCATTATTAAAAGCTTACTTAAATAGGCTGGCACTTAAACCACAAGTTGTAAGAGGTACAAGCAAGGAATGATTTTTTTACATCAAGGAGTTGGTATTAAAACAAATAGTAGAGCTTAAAATAAAGCTCTAATACTTACAAAGAAACTGTAGAAAAATTAAAAAAAAAAAATAATGTTTACTTTCATTAATGCTGTGTAAGAAATTGAAGTCATTACTTTTGCAAGATTATATTCTGCATGAAAAACCATTCCTCTTATTTAATAGTACTAATAGGTGATTTTATGACAATGTTGTCATTTTTTATTGAAAAAATATTAATTGAACACTGGATCATTATAAGACAGGGCTAATGATGATGCAGATCACAAGGTCGATAGTTAACCCCTCCCTCTTAACGTTTCAAAGAGTTTGAAGGAATTTTATTGCAGAAAAAGAGTCATAAAGGGTAATTGCTCTTTTAAAAGGCGTCTCATTGATTGTAAAGTTGCTCAATTATTACAAGAACTGACTGTAATTCTCGATCAAAATGAATCACGGAATCTCAGACTGGAATGTGAAAGCAAATCTATTCGCTGAAGATTTCAACGCCCTGAGAAAAGTCAGAAAACAAGCCATCTGTATAGACATGTAACCAAACCAGTACATTAAACATAATGCGTTTATAATTAAACATAATGCATTTACATAATCAGATTCCCTAGTTGTCGAAGGCTTCAACTATAAATGAAAAAGCAAAAATAAATAATAAAATAAAAATATACATACTTAGGCAGATATTTTATGCTCCATAAAGCATCATAATAAGGTGTATGCCTTTTCCCTCCAACTTGAGAACCATTAAGGCATTGGGCTACTTGTTTAGCAACTTTCTTTTTGGTAAATTCTACCCAACCTTCAGCAAAAAATTTACTCGGTTTTCCGGGTTTAGTTTTTTCTGCAGTATGAAAAGAGAAAATTTATAAACATTAAAGTGCTTAAAGTAAATACATTTTTAAAATCATCTAATTCATTCACTTATAGAAAGTGTGATAAAAAAGTTTAGCATTTCGAAGGCTTCTTTGAGCCCTTCCATGCATCACCGATAGCAATATTTTCGTATCAGTACATGTTCGCACCGACTAGAATCAGCAAGGCGCCAAAGGATCTTAAAATTTTTAAAAATTAAAAAAAAATATGCAGAGGATTGTCTGAGGATGACTACCAGTTTATCCCCTACAGCATGGTATTTTTTAGCTTCTCACATGCCATTGCCCAGAAGTCAACAAAATTTTGTACTCATAACGTACTGATATAGAAGTCTTCCTGAGAAGAACAATGTATCCAAATGGGTCCAACCAACTGTTATTCTCTCTTGAGTTAACCGAAAAATAAAAAATTAAAGACGTTCATCAGAGAAGAACAAATGTTTGAAGTAAAGAGGAATATCATGTCTGTAAAAAATCACTCTATTTGAATGCTAATTATAAGACTGGGGATATTTCTGTATCGTGGTCTTCCTTGCCGACAACAATCGCCGTGGGGAATTATAAATTTGCAATAAAAAAACAAATAGAGATGTGCCTGGAGATGGCTATGAGATGAACCCTTCCAGTTGGTACCATTCTGCGATGTTTTTTCTCGTTTATTGCAAGCCACTGCCCTAAATTCTGGCGATTATTTTGGCTTAGACCACGATATGGAAATGCTCCATAAAGAACTATATAGGATGGTATTACTTCCTAATAACACATGGGGATATTTCAGCATCATGATCTGTCGCACCAACTTCAATAACCGAGGTGCCGAATAGGTGTGATAGATTTCCGTATCGTGATCTGTGGTAGAATAATTGCCAAGTCTTGGCAACTTCTGGGCAGCGGGCTGCGAGAAACTAATAAACATCATATAAAGGGACCAACTGGAAAGGTATAACTCGTGACCAACCACGGGAAAACTTCTACATTTGTTTTATAAAAAAGTTGCAAGTTTAAAATTTATTTGGCACCTTGACGATTGTAGTTGGAGCAACAGATCACGATAAGGAAATATCCCTGAATAGATTTTAAACTTGCAATTTTTTTTAAAAAAAAACATGTCAACGTTTGCCCAGGAGTGGCTACAAGTTATACCTTTCGAGTTGGTCCCTTTATGTGATGACTTTTTAAAAAAAATTTTTCTTAGTTTCTCAAAGACCACTGCCCGGAAGTTGCCAATATTTGGCGATAACTCTGCCACACATTAGGATACAAAAATCTCCCCCTAAATAGATTTTACACTTGCAGGGGTGATTAATATTTCTTAGTTTACTTAAAATTTTACACATACCTACGATGACCTGGAGAAGTAATTAAAATTTACAAATAAGTCTTTCTTTCTTGAGTTTATGATTATAACAACTATTTACTGATAAAAATGAATATTAATCATAAATATAAGCTTATAAAGTATCTCTCTGGCTCTCCCTTACAAACAAATAAAATAAGATGTGCTTTTAAGCTCCATCTTTGAAAATCTGATTTCCGGAAACTTCTGTGATCAATGGTTTTTTGAAACCTGAGGACCTTCGATATCCGGAAACTTCCGGATCACTGTTAGCGAAAATTCCGGAAATCCGGAGCACAATCAGCCCTACACTTAAAAATTTAAAATCTATTAACGCCTTAGCAATTGTAGTTGGCGTGGCAGATCACGATAGCGAAATATCCACCTAACTGACAAATCTATCACAAGTTAATTCTAGAAGAGAAGGGATAATTTCAGACAAACCCATTGAGTAATACAGAAGAAACAAGTCATACAATGTGCAGTGTAAGATTTACTTACCAGGTTTCAAAAATAATCTACGTACTTCTCCAAAATCAGAAAAGATTTCACGAACTTTTTTTACAGTCATGTATCTGGGTATAAAGTTTAAATAAATTATTCCAGGCTTTTTAAGTTTCTTCGTGGTATCAATTTTTTTTTCTTTATTTCCAAATTTCTCTATTTCCACACTCTCGTTGGTCATTTCTTCCACTTCCTGACTTATTTCTTCTTCCATATTGAATTTTTGGAAACAAATTTTATCAACTCGAAATATTGACAGTACTACAGTATACCTTGACAAATGCAAATACCAGAAAGATCATAAACAAAAAATATTTACAGTTCACATGCGGTTCAGTTTTCGGTGGTTTCAGTATCAAACAGGGGTATCAAGTCTTCCGTTTCTTCAGTTTTGTATTTAAATTATTTATATAGAAAGTAACAGAAGAATATACTAAGATGAAACAGTTTAAAATGTTTAACATTACAAACTTATAGAGGCCTATAATCATGATTTGAAACTATGTGCAAAAGTTTAACTGGCTTGCAGCTTACTAATATTAAAAAATATTTTCCAATATAACAGAAACTGTCAGGCAGAACTTTGTATTGTAATACTGTTTGTTGAACTGTTTATTGTAAATACAGGTAAATTTTAGTTTCGTTATTGCCGAACTTATGTTTGAATTAATATTAAATTAATAAGACGATAGTATTTAGCTGTTTAATAATGTAATGATTATTGTTTTGGAATTCTTAAAAGAGCAAAACTTTTTATTTGCTTTTTAATCTCCAAAATTTTTACATTCTTGTTGTTTTAATGTGATCTTGATTTCTCAAGTAATTATAATTTTGAATTGCTTTGAACTGTAGAATTTTTTTATCATTGTGAAAAACTTTATTTTTTATGGTTACTCTTTTAATATTAATGATTTATTTAAGGTCCAAATTGCTTTAATTGTCAACGATATATCTTCACTTTTGACGATGGCTGATGGCCAATATTCTGGCGAAAGACAATTTAAGTTTCTGCTGATAGGAAATGAAGCTGTTGGAAAAGTTAGTAAATTTCAATAAAAAAAAAATTCTTCCTAAGCAATTTCTATAATTATGGTAATTATATATGATATGAAAAAAACCTCGTATGCTAACCTTTATTTTAACTTAAGTTAACCTAACTAGTTTCACTTCTTCATCAGAGCTCTAATGATACAGAAGTGCTGGTAAAATATCTAACATTTCTTTTTTAAGTAGTCTTTTAGTTACTTTTTTTCATTTTTTGTATTTTTCTTCAGCTTGGATTATATTTGATATGGAATCTATTTTTCTTTTCAAATTTAACTATGCTGTTATATTTTAAATAATATTTATTGAAAAAATATGAATAATTGAAGTTTACAGTCTTAAAGAGTTATTTATTCATTTTTTGTAAATCTAGATTTATGTTCAAGGTTGCACATCTTGATTGGTTTTCTAAGCAGGCATTAATAGTTAATGAAACACACAATGAACTCAGAAAATTTTATCTTCAAAAATTTTTTTAATAAATAGCATACTAACATACACAAAAACTAAACCACTAAAAGTATTTCTAAACCACTTGAAAGTTGTTGCACAAAATATCTTCAATTAAGATAACTAGGATTAAATTTAAACATTGCAAAATTTTTACACATAGAAAGATTTGTTTAATTTCAAGAATTTGAATTAAGAATTAAAGAATAAATTAATAATTTGTTTAATTTCATTGATGGAGTGTTACTCAATACCATTTTCAGGAACTCTATTTAAGTCAACATGAAATAGGCAAGAAAATATTTTAATTGTTTTATCATAATTTGCTAATTCTGTGAAACAATTATCAAATGCTGGTATAAGTTTCTTTATTTCATAAAGATATTTGGAGAAATTCATTGATTTGTAATTTGTGAAAAATGTTGAACACTATTATTTCTAAGTTGGTAGTCAAAAAACAATTAATTTTTTATTAATTTTAAATTGAATTTTGTATTGATATTTTATTTTTTTCTATTTCCTTAGCAAAAAAGAACAAACTTAAAATTTAAATTAAAAATTGCTCAGCAGGTCACAAACATTAACATGGTGTCTTGGCCAAGCTTGTTCTAAAGGTATAATTTTTGGAGGGAAAATGTACGTGGTTTAATTTTCATAATTAATGGAGAATGTAATAATTAATAGATAACAAATTAGTTGCATTTTTATGCTCCATTTATATTTATAGTTTTATTTTTACTTTAGAGTTTTGTTATATTTTTTAAACAGCATTTATATTTATTTTCATTCATTTATTTGAAATAAATTTTTCTTTATGTGGATTTCTTATAGACATGCATAGCATTGCAGTTTACGCAAGAAAAATTTGAAAAAAATTACAAACCAACTATTGGAGTTGACTTTTTTATGAAGCATGTTAGCCTGCCTGGTGAGAAGACAGCATTTTATTTATTATCCTCTAAAATTCCATTTTGATTTTATTTACTTCTTATATATTGTTGTCACGTTTGTAATGATGTTATTTTGATGCATATTTTTAAATACTTGATCTATTTTTATTTTAATACAAGAACATCAAAATTAACTAACTTGAGAAAATTGTATAATGCATGACTAACCCGTAAAGAAAAAGCTCAGAAAAGCAAGAGAAATCTAAAAATGTTGTCTTTAAAATGGCTATTTATTTTTCTTTGCATTTCAAAAATACATTTTAGGATATTTCTAATGACATTTTCTTCTCTTTTTATTTTTTGTCAATTCTTATTAAATGCATTAGAAGTTTTTAGCAATGTTATGTTGTTTGGTAATTTTTTTTTAGATAACTTCCACTGGTTTTCTATTAGTTAATTGCTGTGAAAATGGAAATATTGTATTTTTTCAAATAAGTCAAATGAAAACATACTTAGTTTGCACTTTTAAAAGCATATGAATTTTCTTAAAAAGATACCGGCGAAAAAAAATTGTGAAAAATTTTAAACTTAATTTTTTTTTATTTTACCATGTAACATTTTTGCAATTTGAAATCTAATTAAAAATTATTAAGTTTTAAAAAAAAATACTTTTCAGTTTTTGATGTTTCCAGTTCTATGGGTTTGTAAAAAATATATTTTGCTGCAGCTATTAGTCTCATAGCAAATAATTTAATTTTAATTTATATGTATTCAATATATTGAAAAGTATTACCCAAAAGTTTTTTATATTTTAGGAAAGATGAATGTAAAAGATGTTTTTGTTTAGCTAAAATCTCACCTGTCACAACTCAGTATATTTAACTAGTAAATGTGTTAGATTTTTCTTCAGTTAAAAACAAGACTCACTAATATCACTTTGTCATGAAAGTGTTTTTTTTTTTCTCGACAGTATATCAAAAGATGTTTGATTGTTATTAGTAAGTGAGGTTTGGCCACTTTTCAATTCTGAAAATGGACTTCTCTTTCTTACTTTTTTTTCTTTTGGCTTAAATGGTAATTTGATATATTAAAACCATGTACCCAAAGATAAAGATCTTTAATTTCAAAAGTATTTAAATACTCAATTTTAAAATTTTTGACACAACTTACATTCTGGATCCAGAAAATTTTGTTTTACATTCTTTACAGAAATACTACAAATATATATTTATAGATTTATTCTATTATTTCTATAAATTTATTTTAGCTATTTGGGTAGATGGTAATTTAGTAATTTTCTTTTTTTAAAAAAAATATGCCATATTTTGAAACTCGATTTACAGATATATTTCTATAGCTATTCTCAGATGTAATCGAGAAAACTTTATATTTCATCCCAACTTAAAATTCACAGGTGCTGTTTGTCCTGTCATGCATCTTTCAAAAATAATGGCTTCATCTGAAAAAAAGCTATAAAACCCATTTTATTTTTAGAAAAAAATTTTAAGAACTTAATGTACAAAAGAAAAAGCCTTTTTCAGAATTTTGATTTATTTCTTTGTCTGACTTAACTAGTGTAATTATTTTTTTAGCTTCCAAATTAGCTCTAAAAGTATTTAATATACTTATATTAAAAGTATATAATATGCATTCATGTACATAATACACTTGTTTTATTTCTGAAATAGCATTTAATAATATATTTTATAATAATTAGGTGGTTTGAATATTACTATTCAGCTTTGGGACATTGGAGGAATGTCTTTGAAAGGAGAAATGTTGGATAAATATTTGTATGGTGCCCATGTGAGTTTTCATTTTAATTTAATGAAGTTACAGTTTTCGGATTGTGGAATGATTTAGAAAATATTTTATTAATAACTTTGTCTTACATTTCAGATAATTTCTTTTGAAAGTTTTCATATTTTTGTTTTAACATTAACATACAGTGCATACATAACTTTTGATCTAATGTTTGGATCTTCACGTTCTAGAACTCAATCTTAATGGTTGATGGGGTGACTTCAAATATGCTAATTAATTAGTGCAGACGATAATTTAAGTTATGAAATCATACAAAAAAGGTACTTATTTGAATAAACATACTTTTTTTTCATGGATTCGGATTTCGTAATCTGTGAAATATGGTCCCTGTAGTTTGGTTAGAAGAGCTATCCAAAGTTTGGATTCCTTAGTAATGTTAATTTTATTTTTTGCATATTTTGCCAAATCTCGAGAACTTTTTAAGTGAATGGAAAAACTTTTTGCACGCAATTATAAAATTAGTTGATAAAATTCAAAAGATCAGGGTGCATTTTAATTTTTTAATCATTCATTATATATATTTTTAAATAATTAGTTAATGAATGTTTTAGAAATGTTTTTATTAGAGAAACCTTTTTATTACTATCTCGAATTTTTAGTTTTAAATTCTTTCAATTGGTAATTTCCTTTATAATTTTTGTTGCTGCTTGGTATTATCTTATATTTATTGCTGTAGGTTTGTTCATTATTTATCTAGATATTTTTGGAGTACCTAATTCAAATTTCAAACCATATTTTATGTTTTCAACTGTTTTTATAGTTTAACTTCATTATTAACCTGCCATTACAAATCTCAGATTTCAGAATGCTGCATAAAGCATTTTTTTTTTTTTGGTCAAAAGTTTTAACTCTAAATTTAATCGTCTGCAGTTTAATCCAAACGTTAAGCTGCAGGCTTACCTGCATAAAAAACGGGTTTTCCTTTTGTTATTCAATGAGAAAGCAGTAAAATTTCAGTAAAATTTTTCTCTGGGGTTCAATGCTTGGACGGTAGAATATTAGGGGTTATTTTTTCACTTCTTAATTTTGCTTTAATACCTACATAAGTTTTTGGTTGTGGAATACTTAGAAATTTTTTTACATTGAAATCTGCTTTACTTGTGAGCTAAATTTAAATGAAAATGAAAAAATTTTTTAAGCTTTTATTGTATTTTAGTTATAATAATACTGTGGTTTATAATGCTTGTTTCTTTAGGCAGTACTTTTTGTGTATGATATCACAAATTGCAACAGTTTTTCGGATCTTGAAGATTGGATGCAAGCAGTGCATCAAGTTTTCAAAGAAGAGCTTATAATGCCACATTTAGCGTTACTTAGCAATAAAGGTAAGCATACTCTTTATATATTTTTGAATATGTGCGTTTTATTTGAAAAACTATTAACATCAGGGTGTTTTTTATTTGTAGTGTAAGAATACTCCAATTAGTGTAAGAATACTCCAAATTTTTCTCTCACAAGATATTATTTTAGAATTATTTATTAATTTATTTTTGTTTAAATGTTCTTTTGTGTTATTACGGTAGACCTAAAAATTAATCAGGCAGTAATATAAGAAAGAAAAAAAACTGAACACTAAGTATCCTATAAACTCTTTAAAATCAAAACATGAAACTCACCATGCATTAACGTCTGCCCTGGTTTTAAAATGTTAATGACGAACAATGATTAAAAAGCTCCCTTTGGATTACATTTTCAAACTTATTTTTTAACATAAACAAAAGCAAGTTCTTATAAATTTACACATCTGTGAATGATCTAATTATTCACATTCTTTTTGCAATCTGATGTATAATAAATAAAAACAAGAAAAAATGCAGAACTTAATAAAATATAATTTTTTATCAATTATACTGAAATTTTATTAGTTTTTTTTTGTTACCCTTCAATTCTATATATTTAGATATTACTAAAAATGCAATGGAAATGTGATAAAATAAATAATCTAAAATGTGCAAAACCTCTTGTCCTGTGGTATTATTTTCAAATGTGCAAAATGTCATGCAATGTTAATTCAAATGTTTTATTTACGGAGCATTATCAACAAAATACAATATTGATGCATTAAAATTGTTTGTTATAATTTTTTTTTGGAAAAAATATTTTGTTTTTTAAAATCAGCAAACATGAATAGAAAGAGATATAAACAAATTTGAAAATCAATTTTGTTTCAACTTTCTCAACTAGAACAGAGTATGCATAGAGTGTATTAGCTGCTTTTTTTTCCAACGATTCTATGCATTACTAATTGAAAAATTGTTTTCCTCTAGGTGATCTAGAACACAGTAGAACAGTCAAATTAGATCGGCATTTAAAATTTGCTTTAGATAATGCAATGTCTTCCCACTCTGTCTCAGCTAAAACTGGTGAATCTGTAAGTAAATATTAGGTAACAATATATACTTCTGTTCTATGGATGGTGTTTTCAATATAAATGCAAACAACAGCAATCTAGTGCTATTGACCTGCACTAATTCCAGTTCGAAAGTATACAGCTGCTTATTCTGCGAGGCGATATTTTGAAACAGATAATTTTGTTTTTAATAAGAGAAATAAATTTTATAATTTCTCAGCTCAAATCTGCTGTATTTCATAAGATATTAAGTAATTCTGGTTAGTTTGAAGGGAAAATTTGCTTTAGTTAATTAGAGATGTATTGTTAAAAAAGATAACATGGTTGCTAGATTTAGAAAGAACACGCTTTTTTAGCATTTCCGATTTGGTTTCTTTTTTTGCTTATTTGTTACTGTATGTTCTTGTTGCAAGCTGCACACCATCATAGGTTAGTGTTAGCATATTGTTCGAGCAGAGAGATTAAGTTAATTTTACAAATTATCTTTTAGGTTTATATTTCGAAGTTAGTATATTGTTAACAAGGTAAGAAGTGTTTTATAACAATTCTTTTTCAAATGACAATTCTTACGTCTTAAAAAGACAGGTCTTCAAATGACAATTCTTTTAAACACAAATAATAAATCTGGTACAATAATAAAACAAATACATGCATACAAGAAACACTACTCAAGAGTGTCTCAAAACACAATGATCATGTTGCGAGTCAAATGGCTTCAAAATATACTGAAAACAGTGAACTGGAAGTATAGGGAATCAAGAGCTTGCAGCACTCCCTAGTGAAGAAAACACCATCCATTTGTTTCCAATGCTTAGTAATTATTATTATTTTTTTTAGATTGCATTATGCTTTCAAAAAATTGCTGGTGAACTGTTAGGGATTCGTTTGACTCGTTCTGAGCAAGAAACTGTTCAGCCTGTAGTGAAAGCTGAAATTGTTCAAACTGCATCTATGGTTCCGGAAGTAAAAGCTAGTCCATGTAAAGCTAATAAAAACAACAGCACAGTATGCACAGTTCAGTAAAGATACATACTTGTTTTTTTTTAAGTGATATTTACTTTTTATTGGAAATTGTTGCTATTTCAGTGATTTAAAAATTGTATGCAATTATTTTCTTACTAAAAGCGTAAGTCTATTTTAATATTTGTACAATGTGTGAGGCTTTTGTGTAAAGTCTTTGGTTATATATACTTCCGAGCTCTTGTATTTTTTTTCTTTTTTGTTGCCATTATGTATTAAATGTTGCAACATTAGTGTCAGATAAACAAAAAATAATTTAAAATGAATACACCCATAATTATCAACACTCGTGGATAGGGATTATATCAAACATTATATTAAAAACAATATTGAAGTTGAATAATAAATTTAAATCAAGAATGTCAATTTATGAGATCTTTATTATATTTTATCTTTTTTTAAATAATTAAAATATAAAATATTAAGAATAATATTCTTTTGGAATTTTATAAGGATTAAATTACATAATAAATATCATCTGAATCATATCAAGTTAGATTTCATTTTTGTTGTTGATCGCTTTGTAAATTGTTAAAGTAGTTGTTTAAGAATATTTTCTTCTGGGAGAGTGGAGTGCAAGAGTAGTTCATTCGAGCTGGCAACGACAGAACCAGTAATTTCTAGTGACCAAATCTATGCAGAATTTATTCAATCTGCAGCAGAATCTTCAATTTTGTTAGACAGAATCTTTAACTTTGTTAGTCAAAAACTATAATTGAAAAAATAAAGTAATGTTGTCACATAGAAAGGATTAGATTTAGTTGAACAAATCAAACAGATTTATTACAACACTTCATGAATGTAAGGAACAAGGAATCTGACGTTGATACTAGAAATACATGAGTTTATGTACAGGAATATTAAGGAAACAGAAATGATGAAGAAAAACTTTTAGAACATTCCATAAATAATAACCAAAATCTTGAATTACATATTTACGTGCTTCGGAAGTCTTGGTTGAAACCGGACGGAACGTTGAAGGTCGAACTTTGGACTTCCATCAGTGCCTTTGGTTACTCGTCCATGCCGACACACTTTGTGTCAATATGAGATTAAAAATAATCTGAAAATGCTATGGTAATCTATAGCACTTGTTGTCTTTATGCAAGGAATCTGCTGGCAGAGTTTAAATATATATGAAATTGCTTTTTAAAACAAAATAAAAGTATAAATCATTAAAAAAATATTCTTTTGCAATTTTATCAGAATCAAATTATTTAAAAAAAAGAAACATCTTCTGAGTTATATTAAGTTTGAGCTCATTCCTTTATACCCTTGGTAAGTTAAAACTGTTTAAGAATATATCATAGTGTAAGAGTGGTGCTCACTGGCTTCAGCTGCAATAAAACCACTAGTGACACTTTTGAGTTCATAATCACTATTGAAAAGGATGTACATCTATGATCCAAGGTGACTTTTTTTTTACCAGTAGTTTGTGTTTGCTGGTGTTAGTCTTGCTTTTCCAATTAAGCATGCCTTGGAGATATTTTTTTAAACTCTTTTTAAACAGTTAGTTTTCTAAAGAAGTTAATTTTCATTAGTAGAATTGTTTTTCATTAAATCCAAATGTCATAAAAAGTTTTGTAATCTAATTTAAGAATTGCAATTGTAATAGCAGTTTTTTTTTTAAAAAAAAAAAGAAAATTAAAAATCAATACTTTACTGTACTTCAAGTTTTTAAAAAAATAAAGGGAGACTAATTTATAATAATTGTTTATAAGAAAAGTTTAATTTTTGATGATTGAAGATGTTGACAGAAGAAGTTGAATGATTTGCCATTAATAGGTGGAAGGCAGTATTAGTAGAATATTTATCATATTTATCCTGGAGATAATGAGTAAAAATCTTAGTAAATATGACTACACTAGTGTAAAAATCTTGATGAATCATAGTAGGAAATTATCAATATCCATTTGTCTAATAATTCTATTGTCCAAAGTGTAAAGGTAAACAAATATAGTGAAGTATCAAATCTGATAAATAATAAAAAAGTTTTATTTTTGAAATTATATGGAGCTCCAAAGTAAAGATTAAGTTTAAGTTTTGATATAAACATACATTATCAAATAATAAATTTGGAAAATGGTGCGGAGGGTGTGGCTGCAGGAATAAGCCCCACCAGACACCTCCATTCACCAAGAAATCAAAAATGCGAGTGCCATGTGTACGTTAGCATAGTTTTCACCAAGGAAAGTTGAATAATTCCATGTATTGGCTATTAATTGATTTTTATCTATTGTCAAGGCTCTTTTTCTCAGCCTTGCGCATTCAAATGTGTTGGCGGAAAGGAAAGTGTGAGAAATACTAACGAATTTTAATGAATTCAAAACATTAGCAACCATAATGGTTTTGGAGTTCTCTGCTAATGTGTGTGAGGGAATCTCTAAAAATAGATTTTATTCTGCACAATTTAAGGTTGTGGTATTAAAAGATTATCGATTATATTAATAATTTTTTTTAACTGAGAAAAGGATTAAATAAGATAATTTTTAAATGCTAGGTAACATGTTATGCATATTTCAGCATGACAATAATACTGTTTTGTTTCATATTTTTGTTACATGTATGAAACAAATTTAAAAATGAGATGTTGTGTCAATATTCTGAAATAAAATTTCATTGTTATCAAACCAATTTTTTCAAAAGAGAAGTTGGGTTACATTAAATAAAACACTGGCTTTCAGTTATTTGTGTAAAATGCATTAAGATCATTCTTCTGTTTTGAATGAAAAAATATGTATTATTTTCAATTCAAATTATTTTATACAAGTTATTTAAAAAATCAATTTATTTATTTTTTAATTCCTCACTTAATTAATTGGAGTAATTTATGAAGTAATATAGTTAATATGAAAATAAAAACTTATGTTCTCCCTCCTGCTCAAGCCATAGTTTAAATTGTATACCATGAATAATTTCGATTATCATTTATGGTATAATTTTTGGTATATTGCATGTTTATGATTACGGATTTCACTCATTGTGTGCAGAGAAAAATAATTTTACTGAATATTTTTATTATGTTTACAGAAAAATTAATGAAATTATTCATTGTCTTTTTTACTTCTTTGCTTTTAACTTAGAAATTCAAATGGTATTTAAAGCAAATGTTTTACACTAGAAAGACTGAATATTGCAGTGTTCTTTGAAAGACTGAAAGGGCCAGTGTGGCTCTTCGCAGATTGTTTGTGAGTAGATCAATTAGACATCCAAAATCTTATATTTTAATAATAATAATTAATTTAATAAAAACCTATTATGGACTTGATCATCCACATTGTATGGTATTTTATTCAATTTGGTTAATGAAAATATTCGGCTAAATGGAACACTGGCTTTTCAACTATACTTATTTACTAGTTTCTTAGAAAATTGAATTTCCTTTTTTCTATAATTATACATATGTTGAAATATTTTGTATTTTTTTAATAAAACTGGGGTGCCTTATACTTACCAAAAGTACCTTATACCCAAACCTACCTGGGGTTAAGGATACCTACCAAAATAAATAAATGGCCACTCTGGCTCCCTTCATCATTCTAGGCATATGGTTCTATATTTACGTTTTGATAACATTAACACATGAATGATTAAATAAGCATTTAAATTTGATCAGAAATACTCAACGCTTTCAGTAAGTTATTTTTTAAATTAAAGAGCAATTAAACACGAGAAAAGCCCGATTGGCCCCATCTGTCATTCTAGTGTTAATTTGCTTTAAGAATGTTACAAAAATCACATTGACAAAAACCTGTTTTCTTAGTTATTGTTAGCAAGATTTTTGTTGAATAGATAGAAATTCTTCACAATATAATAGAGTAATATTCAATTTCGATACATTATAGAAACTGGTTAATAATACAAAGTACGTGTCACCAGTTTTTAAGTAGTACTACATTCAAAATGCAGTATTTTAAGCATGCATCTTAGATTTCATTTAATGAACAATTGGTAATTTATTGATTCATATGTTAACAAATACTTACCAATAAGCATTATGTAATAATATTTATTTTTTAATTCTTTATCAGCATTCCTTGATTTAGTTCATACCTATTTTTTTCAATAAAATTCAGTTTAATAGCTTTATTTGTTTATAATATGAATTGGAATATATTTTTGATTTTGTAAGTTTTAGAATAATATATCCAATTATATAGTAATTGGTAAAAGTATTTTGTACATATAAGAATATGCAAAATCTTTGCATTTACTTAATTTTTCTTATTTATTTTTTTAGTATGATATTTTGTGAAAAGACATAAAGTGCTTTAACTATTCCGTCCATTTTACAATAAGACCGTGAGATTAGTTTATACTATTGTATCTGGATCATGAGAAATAGTTTGTTATGCATTGAAATATTCACAATTCTAGTCATTTTGTAAAGATATGAATTGTTACATTTTTAATATCTTTGAAATGAAACACATGAGTGTAATGAGAAATTTCCCTAAAATGAATTGTAAAAATTCATTGCAGTGTTTCAGGCAAATGTTAGTGCTATAATCCAAATATATGTTAGTGACTTTTTTTTCCTACAATTTTTGTGTTGTTATTTAAACATCACTGCAAATTATATTGAAAAATATTTCACTATATTATTATAAAAATGTAAATTCTAGTAAATTCGTATGCAGAAAGTTAAAACAAGTGTGGTGAATATTTTAGCCAAAATTTTGATGGATTTTTTTTCCAAAGTTGTTTAAATTTTAATCAAGTTTCAGTAAATATTGTTGGAGTCTAAGACAGTATTACTGGGCCCCCTTTTTTTATCTTTCTAAAAAAAATAGATATGATTAATAAAAAATGCTTATAAAAATTTTTGGGATAAAATAAAAACTAAGTTTGCCTTTACTTTTATTAGATTTTTACTATATTAGTTAACCATTTATTTTTTTGCCTCTAAATAATGACTAAATAAACTGACTAAAAATACAATTTAATAAGAAAACGTGTAAAGTTCATATGAAAAATGACATAAATTTCAAATCTACTATTATATTTACAATTTTTATTAACTAATTTAAGATGATATAAATAACAGTATACAGTAAAAGCTCTCGACTACCTGAAAATTCAGCAAATTTTTGATAACTAGTGAAAATTCCATATATTTGAGTGCCTCAATTTTAATATTCTATAATTTTCTGGGGGGAAAATGCTGTGCTTCAAAAAAATAAATAAATTGTAACTAAATTATTAAAAAAATAATAAACTTTTACAAGTAGTCTGGTATATGTGTACTCTTCCAAAAAAATGCCCTTATTTTTTTTGAAAAATGTGGTCTATGTCCCACTATGAAGCCTGCATATTAAAATCTGTACTTAAAAAATGTTGCACTATAATAAAAACATCAATAAAAAACTAATGTAAATCAAAGCCACTAATTATAGAAAAATAATTTAAAAAAATTAATTAAAACATTGTAATAGTTAATAAATTATAATTTGAAAGAAAGTTTTTTTTTTTTAAATTTCCAAAAATTCTGGTTACTTGAGCTTTTACTGTTATAAAATGACAAATTATGATTTTTTAATGATTGTGAATAATGCTAAAATATTTTTTGCCTACTAGGAAGAACTTTCTAGTTTCAGAAAAATAAAGGTTGCAAAATTTCTAAATAGAAATATAGGTGTGTTTAGTTTTATTAACCACACATGAGCACTTATACCATTTTACTTTTTGTCTCCCCTGTCTAAGGCCCTAAATACTATAAACAAAATGAGCACATTTATTTGGTTTGCAATTTATCAATGTATACTTACATATAATAATGTGTGCACCTTGTATTATATTTACAATGAAATGTACATTCTGAGTGAGTATATTTTGAGAATATTTTTATTATAATTTTGTCACACCTTTAAGTGTTCATTGTTAAAAAGTTAATGATGCTATTATAAATAGAATATATTCTAGCTTTATTAAATTATTATATCTTACAATAATATATAAGCAAAAATCAAAATTAACTTGTACTTTATGATGCATATTATATTTAACCAATATTATTGTTATATGTTAAAATCTATTTGGGAAATTGTGCTTAGTTGTGTGAAAACTTATATGTTTCTGAAAAAAAAATCATAATGTTTTATTTTGTTATTTACTAAGTTGAAATTGCAGCTTTGTATATCAATTATGTTTACAATAAAAAGGAAAAATAAAAAGTCATTAACTTTGCCTAAACCTAATGTCTTGTATAATTTTATTATACTTTTCAAACTAGATATGTGATTAACCCTTTAATTGTTAAGTTAGTTCAGCAAATTTTATACAAAAATTATTTTAATTTTCGTTAAAAAATCTGATTTGTTGTAAGGAAGCACAATTTGGTTCCCAACTATAAAACACTTAACTCAGACAAGAACCTAGAATTGATGGGTTAATCATCACACATANTGTCTAAGGCCCTAAATACTATAAACAAAATGAGCACATTTATTTGGATTGCAATTTATCAATGTATACTTACATATAATAATGTGTGCACCTTGTATTATATTCACAATGAAATGTACATTCTGAGTGAGTATATTTTGAGAATGTTTTTTATTATAATTTTGTCACACCTTTAAGTGTTCATTGTTAAAAAGTTAATGATGTATAAATAGAATATATTCTACCTTTATTAAATTATTATATCTTACAATAATATATAAGCAAAAATCAAAATTAACTTGTATTTTATGATGCATATTATATTTAACCAATATTATTGTTATATGTTAAAATCTATTTGGGAAATTGTGCTTAGTTGTGTGAAAACTTATATGTTTCTGAAAAAAAAATCATAATGTTTTATTTTGTTATTTACTAAGTTGAAATTGCAGCTTTGTATATCAATTATGTTTACAATAAAAAGGAAAAATAAAAAGTCATTAACTTTGCCTAAACCTAATGTCTTGTATAATTTTATTATACTTTTCAAACTAGATATGTGATTAACCCTTTAATTGTTAAGTTAGTTCAGCAAATTTTATACAAAAATTATTTTAATTTTCATTAAAAAATCTGATTTGTTGTAAGGCAGCACAATCTGGTTCCCAACCATAAAACACTGAACTCAGACAAGAACCTAGAATTGATGGGTTAATCATCACACGTATAAATAAGACCCTTGTGGACACCTCCGCACCATAGCTGCTAACACGGATAGGAAAAAATCCAGTAGATTTTACGAAATAACATAAATTTCATGATAATTGTTGCATAATGTATTAAATATTTTACACATAGTGAATTTTATTCATCAAAATAGAAAAACTGCAATATTTTTCGGTTATGATTGAAATTAAACATACTTGAAATGTTATGTAATATGTTTACTCATAATTTCGAATATTAATAGGCATTTAATTTATCAAAGATAGTTATAAAACTTTTTTTAATAAATTTAAAAAGAGAGTTTAGAATAAAATTAAACTGAACATTTTGGAACAAAAAAGTTTTGAACTGATTTCTATAAATGAGGTTAGCTTCATTATGTATTAGTGATAATTATTTAAATATTTAAGCAATCAAGCAATAATCTGTACAAAAATTCTATTTCAATAGGGAATTTTTTAGGAAACTTGCTCAATTTTAGGGAATTTTCTAAAATGTTTATTATCAACAGTGGGGATATCATAAACAATGATAAAATTGAATATGATAATATTGCGGGTATTATCGGTAACAAATAATAAATACGATAATATCACAATCACTATCGACAAAATCCAGTAGAGTTAGCAGCTATACTCCATACTTATATTGTTAATCATACTTATAATTTTTTTAATTAATTTATTTAAAAAAAAAATGAGCAAATAATATAGGACATATTAGATTTGAATATAATTTTGAACACTTAGATTTAGACCAGAATTAAATAACAATAAACTATTAGAAAATGTAAGCATTAACTAGCATTTTATAAACTAATTGTTAAAAATAATACTAACTGGGATGCTGGATACGAAAAAGGAGATTTCACTAGTGTTATTTAACATCATTCGTCTATTCTATTAATTTTAATTGAAAAATCGAAGATCCATAAACAAATGTTTGATGCAGACATTACTAGAACAAATTAAATAATAAAAAAGCCATTACATTGGATATAGTTATATAGTATTGTCAATGAACATAAAAAAATAAAATAGTTTATGAATGAACTGATCTCTGTTTAGATATTCAGTTAATATTACTATCTTAGAAAATATATTGTGAATAATTTTTAAACTAATGTTAATTTTTTTTTTTTTTAGATAAAAAAATATTGATTACTCAATCTAACATTTGTATTAATTTTAACTGTTTTTCATATTATGCAATTTCATTTAATTTGGGTAACGCAACAAAACGTATTTCTTAAATTAAAGATATCATTCTTGAAGCTTTAATAGAAAAAAAAATTTCTTTTAAATTTCCTCAGCTGTGTATTAAAGGAAAAGTCTAGTTAACGAGCTTTGTATGAAATGTTAGCATCCTATCCCCTCTACGAAATTTTAGGTCTCGATAATTTTTAGCAATGTTTGAAATGTCTGATTTTTTTTTTTAAACAATGCATCTAAAAGATTTTTTAGTTTATGAATATCCTTTGATAATACTTTCATATTCTAGAATGGTATAATTATGTGTATTTAGATTAAAAAAATATGAAATAATGTATTTAATTCAAAATAAATATAACTTTAAATTTATTTCAATTTTATTACAACTGCAATAAATAATAATCTGAATTCAACAAAAAATACCACTGATCACTGGAATTGAAATAAAATGAGAGACAAGTCTAAATACAAGAAGTTTGTACAACTTATCCTATTTTAAAAACATGAAGAAAAAAATGACAAGAATCAAAATATTAACACAAATACTATCTGTAACATTTTGTACTATTATGAAATTAAAAGACAGCTTGAATATTTCAGTATTACAAAGTTCTTAAACATTTTATTACATTAAATTTTGCAAGCAAATGTATAAGTTATTATATGTATTTTAGGTCGTAAAATTTCCAATTTATATTTTACACTTCAATTATAATACATTAAAAATGACAAACAATGAATTTTCATCCAACAATGCTGGGTTGATGTCAACAAATTTATTACAATAAAAACATGTAGTAAAATTACTTGAGCAACATAACTCAATGTTAAAAATAAATATCACTAATTCTTTTTTTTCTTCCAAATAACATCAATATATTTTCAAATAAGGAATTAAACAAATAAAATTATTTTGAAATATAATAAATCATATGTGTTTATCACTTGCATTCATTAGAAATATGAAAAGATTGTTAATCAAAATATACAACTTTAAGCTGCAATGGTTTAATAAAGATTTTACCTCTTGTATTTTGATTAATAAATAGTAAGTCTTATCCACACAATGAAATAAAATGTAATTTTTTTACTGATTTGCAATTCAAACAATTTGACACAAAAATTTCTCCATTAAGCACTTTATCTTCACTGAATCAGAGAAAAACTGATTGCATCAAATTAAATGTGGAAGGTGACATATAAAGAGGTAATAAGTGAAACTTAATTTATTTGCAGCACAATATGTTTAAAAGTCATACCATCAAATTAAAAAGTATTTAATTTCTATTAAGAATTGAAAACATAAGCATTGATTATTAAAGTGATGGGGATAGAATTTACTATTTCAGTTCTGTATTTTTAATGAAACTAAAAAAAAAAAAAAAAAAAAAAAAAGACAAAATGGTTTGACTGAAGATGGCAGAATCATGGTGGCACAGCAACATTGTCGCAGAATGTTACAGAGTTCTTGCAGAAAGAGTTTTCCTTTGGGAAGTAAAATTTTTGCTTTTCTTTTCTGCAGAAATTTTTGAAAGATTTTATAGTTTCTTCAGAATTATATTCAAAAGATGCCTTTCTCGCACATTAAAGGAGTGGAAAAAAATAGTCTTGATTTTTCTTTTGAGAATAATGAAAAATGAAGAGCAATGAAGTAAAAAAAAATTAGGTTTTCTTTTCCGCATAAATTTTTATTCTGTTATTTATGCAGTTATTACTATGGCCTTTAAAATCCAATATTTACGACATTTATTACAACTAAATCTCAACATGCATTTAGTAACCCCTTTTTGAAGAGTTCGATTCACGTGATATTGTGGTCGATCTTTTTTCGATAGTTACTGCTAAGGATTTCACGATTTTTTTAATGTGATGATGAATTACAAAAATGAAATAGTGTGCTATTGCCCAACAAAATGCAAGAATATCGACCAAAATCTTAGAATAAAAAAAATATTACATATTCAATTATAAAAATTATTTTATTTGATCAGAAATTTTTTTGTTCAAATAGAAGCTTCTGTTACTTTAAATTAGTAATATGTTTATTTCATAATTTTCTAAGTATCTAGCAGAAAGATTGTCGCAGAGAGCCACAGGGTGAATAATACTTTTTCAATTTGTCCTTCAATGTGATATATTTTCTTCAGTTTTTTGATTCTTCTAAAAACTAAGATACCATTTTGACACAAATATACACTTTTCCCAAATGGAAATTTGAATAATATTTTTTTTAACAATTATTAGTTATTAAATTCACGGTTATAGAATTTTATAAAATACTAAATTAAGATTTTTATATCAAAACCTATGTTAAAGAAAAGAATAAAAGTAGAGAAACGAGATATTGAAGAAACTATAGAATATATGAATGAGGAATGTATGAACATAATCCCCAAAATTGGGTTGGCTACGGTCAAGCTTGATTATGAATGAAAAGAAATGTTATAAGAAGGTATTAAATAACTTTCTCTAATAAAATCAATAATTAATATAGATGGGGATTAATTAATTTTCTAAGCAGTATATTCCACGAGTAAGTGCAAACCTATGATTCTCTGTTATAAATCCCATTTAATGCAGATATTTCTATAATCATAAATAGTATTTTATATGATCACTAGTCAAGATTCATTATTATGGAGTCAGACTTATTATTTATTAATATAATGACCTTACTAATAATTGCATACTATAGTTTGTAAGCCTTCTTTATTATCAATTAATTCTATTTTAACCATGTTAAACATAATCAAATTTTCATAGTGACAGGTGGCATACCTAAAATTCTCTGTTGTATTTAAAGATTTCTTTATTGTGGTTAGTAATGCAAAAATAAAACAAATCACATCTGATGCACCACAAGTCTCTGAATTCCTGAGTGAAACATAGAAATCCAAATACTATTCTTTACAATCATCGGTCGTTAGATTAATCACAATATTATTGTCTATCAATAGGATAAGAATCTTATTAATAATTAAATTAAGTAAGCCTATAAGCTTACTTTAGGACCAGTATATGGTGCAGCATCACACCAAAAGTCAGTAGGAGGAGAGGTTCTTAGTAACCAAGTTTTAACCTCAGAGTCAGTTTTATTGGTTTCTAAGGGAACGTAATAATGGCAGTCTCTTTCTTTCATATCGTAAGGAGGTGCTAGAATATCTAAGAATGCTGCAGTCCCACCAATAGCGCAAATTTCGTGAAAATTAGACTCTTTCGGTCTTAAAACACAAGGCTCATCTTTGTCAGTCACATTTTCTGGAGAGTGCTTTTCAACAGGAATTAGCCGATCTTTTTGAGAACTTTTGATTCTGTTGCTGATGTCTTGGGGCAATTTAACCTCTCCAGGAACCTTGGACAAAGCACTATAGGAAGAAATTTTCAATGTACCTTGTATGACTTTCAGTACACCGTGCATACCGGGATGATCATGCAACGGTATTCTAGCACCGCTTTTTAGTAGAAATATACCCATCGAGAAGCACTGATTCTCCGCAACTTCGATATATGTCACGGGAGCTAAGGATTTTGATGAATTTCCACTGTTTATAGTCCTAATAGTTTCTTTGTTTAGCTTCAAATCGGAGGAACGTATTCTAGCAACATTTCTAATTAGTTTGGTAAAACTTTCTGCGAAGTTTTCTTCCGTCAAACTTTTTGAAAATGTAGCTTGCGCTTGTTTCGCTATTACTTCAACCAACGAAGACATGATTATTGAAAATAAAGATGGTGTTGATGCCAGATTATATAAGTGAAATCTAGAAAGTAATAATGTGAAGAAAGTATTGAAGCTCTTTGCAGTGAAGCTTACAGCTTATACAGATGCACGTTTGTTCATAATCATAAGCTACATTTTCACTGCTAATTTATTACTTTTTTCAGAAGCATTCACATGCGTGCAGTTCCTTTAAGGACCATTCACACTCATAAAAAAAAAAGCGTTTGTGAAATCGTAGACAGGTTCTTACTCGCATGAATGGTCCTTTATTCATTTTCATACCCTATGTACATTCTGATCCATAAGTTTCTGTGTGCTTGTTAATGCAATAATTCTTTTCCTGATGTTTTTTTTTGCTTTTCACCAACGGTTTCTACTATTCGCGATCGCAACGAACTATAGGAGGCGTTGTTGTATGAGACTAATACCTGCGAATTCTATATGAACAGTCATTAATTTGGAAGCAGAAAACTATTCTATAGAAAACTATCATCAAATAAGAAAAAAACTACTTAAAAGTAAAATTTTTAATTTTATAAAAATTAATATTACCTGCTTTATAAGTCAGAAGAATTCCAAAATGATTTGTTTTTTGATTTTTGCTACCATTTTTTAGTGCTACGAAAATGCGTCTTTGGGATTTGCCGAAAATAGAAAAAGATGCAATTTTATTTTTTCAGGAGCGAAATATTTTGCCCATTCGCGATCGCAACGAACTATAGGGGGCGTTGTTGTGTGAGCCGCTTACCTGCGATTTCTATATGAACCGTCATTCAGTTACTCTGGAGACGTCGTTAACGTAGCGTGTAGCATTGCAACGTTCCTTCTTTATTGTGGCTAATTAAATTTAAAAAAGAAAAATGCTTGATATTCTTTCTTCTGCAAACGAAAACTAAATGGTATCTCTTTTTANTAAATATATTTTTGGCGACATTTCATTCAAATGCAGCCAAATAAGGGACAAAATACAAAACATGGCAAACCTTAAGAATTATTCACAATGAGATATTAACTTTCCAAAATTTGTTTTGGCCTTGCGACCTCTGAGAATCAATACATTTCTGAAAGCTCTTATGAATGGTACAATTATGTTTAGATTTGAACCTAAATTACAATAACAAAACTGCATAGAATATTTGGCTTCTTCACACATCGCCTCGTAGACATAACATAAGCGGAGGGATACACCGGAAATTTTCTAAATTTCTTCCGGTTTAAGGACGCTTGTTATTGTTTACATTAGACCACCCATCCATAGTTTCTCAAGTTAAAAGATTTTAATCTATACGAAAAACCAGAGAGAAACTAACGTAATTCCTTCCTCTATGACTTTCCACACGCTAATGGGGAAAGCATGTGAAGTGTTGCCATAGGAAAAGAGTTCTGCTCTACGCCACCTGCAGCCCATTTCGATCGCCAATAATCATAAGCTACATTTTCACTGCTAGTTTATTACTTTTTTTAGAAGCATTCACATGCGTGCAGTTCCTTTAAGGACCATTCACACTCATAAAAAAAAAAAGCGTTTGTGAAATCGTAGACAGGTTCTTACTCGCATCTCCGAATTCGTAGGCGCGATTTTTTCACATACAGAATGAATGGTCCTTTATTCATTTTCATACCCTATGTATATTCTGATCCATAAGTTTCTGTGTGCTCGTTAATGCAATAATTCTTTTCCTGATGTTTTTTTTTTTTTTTTTTTTTTTTNATATTTACAGGCTCCCGCTAGAGGGCGTACTCGAGCGTTGCGATCGCGAATTGCAACGTTGTTGTATGAGACGAATTCCTGCGATTTCCATAAAAACAGTCATTTAGTTGCTCTGGAAATGTCTTCAGTGTAGTATTGTAACGTTCCTTCTTTATTGTAGCTTATTAAATTTAAAAGAGAAAAATGTTTGATATTCTTTCTTATGCAAGCGAAAACAAAATGGTATCTTTTTTTTAGAGAAGGAACATCCAAAACACATCGGAAAAATTTTGTAAATAAGCGGGACAAAAAATATGCATCTTATTATTAGAGTTAAAACCTAATGCCTGAGAAATAGTTGTAGTTTTAATTAGCTTAAGGGCGCTTTTTCATTACACGACACGATACCGACAAAATCGGACGACAAATGTGTGAACGACAATGTGGTTGCCGGATCGTTCAAGTAATTGTTTTTTCACTTGTCCGATATCGTTCGTCCGAGAAGTAGAAATTCTTGTTCATTCAGTGTTTTGAGCTTGAGTGAGCAGTTGTTTGTGTTCTGCTGTTATTTTTTTTCTGCTAACTTTATTTATGCCGGATGATAATCATCGTCTCAAACTTCTTACTTTATTTTAGAAGAAAAAAGCTAGCAGTGCAAAAACGTTTTTGGGTGCACGAAATGGTACTTACATATTAACGTCACCGCAGCTACAGATTTGGCTGCTTTTAAGTGCCGCCAATCTACTCCTAAAATTTTTGCGACAAATCATGAAATAAAACACTTTATTTAAAATCTAAAAATTCAAAACACTTTATTTAAAAACAAAGTAGTCAATCGGATTTCGGTGGAAAATGGGCCGATATGGAGTTTAACATATATTCAAAACAGTCTCTTTTCTTTCATCAGATGCTGTCGCCATATCGTCGCTTTGAAACTAAACCGCAGTAACTCAAAAATAAGATATTTAGGTCATTTTGTGTAAAAAAAAATCACCCTTTTAGAGAAACAACGTGTCATCTTCATAGCTCCATAAAATTAATTTAGAGAGCAGATAAATCATTATCGCATTGGCGCGATTCGCCATCTTAGTTTTAGGGAATAGTGTAGCAGTGTGCCAGTTGCAACNACACGTTCAGGATGTGGTCCAATTCACGAAATCGAAGGCAAGACTGTTTTTCTGCCTTATTACAGGAAACTTCGCTCAAGAAAACCAATCATGCTAGCCGATAATGATCTAAAGCACACGAGCAAAACTGCGAAGGCCTTCTTGTCAAGCAAGAAAATTAAGGTTTTGCAGTGGCCTTCCAAATCACCAGATCTCAACCCGTTCGAGATGCTGTGGATAGATGTGGATAAATATGTGAAACAACAAAAACCGAAAAATTTAGGTGATTTATGGAAATGTATCGAAGAAGGCTGGGCAGCTATACTTCCTGAGCGATGTAAAAGATTAGCAGATTCGATGCCTTGTAAATGTGAAGCAGTAATTGCCCCAAAAGGCTTACCGACTAAATACTAGCACCAAATCTTTATTTTTTGTTACATTTTTTACATTGTTATTAATTTTATTAACGATTAAGAAATATTTATTTCGTTGTCCTTAAGTATGCGGAATGCATATTTTTTCTAAAATGTTACATAATTTAAGTATAACAGTTAGATAAATGATTTTAATTCTGGAAATATATTAAAAATAAGTTATTTGTTCCAATACATAATTATCAATTCAAAAAACTTATGCGTGAACAATAAGTTTTGGATTTTACTTTCCATAAAGACATGTCCTTAAGTACGTGAGCGCCACTGTAGTATGAAGGGCCTATTTGAACTTTACATTCTATAGTTTTAAGAATCATATTAGTTCAAACATTAAAATATGCAAGAAGTGTACATAAGCTCATAATTTTATATTACTTAATTTTACAAAAAAAATTTCTTGACAACTATTTTTATTAAATTAAATTTTATTAAATTTTAACATTTTTAAAGATCTTATTCTTTACCCTACTACGTTTATTATTTCTTCATTAATATACTAATCGATTTTTTTAGTACTTTAATTTAAGTTTTCTTTAAAGTAAAGTTCCTTTTTAACTTATAGGCAAGTTTTTTTAAGAGAATTATTGTCTGCTGGCTAAGAATGAAACCTTGTTAAGAAATTAAAAACATTCCGCTGTTTAAAATTATTTAATGCAAAACAACTAATTATTTACTAAGCATACAATTTTTTTCGAAAAAAGAATATAAATCATCTTTTTTTTTTGTTTCTTGTGACTTCAACATAGATTATCTAAAAGAGTGTTGATGTTTCAGAAGTCACTACAAAGAGTATAAAGATACCGAACATAAAAGGCTGTTGAATACGTAGCCAAAATTTTTAAGCGTCTTAAAATATCTCAGTATCTTGAAAGTCGTCCTAACATATCTTAGTAGTGAAATTAAATTTTCAATTATCTGACCACGTGTGATATTTACTAATTATTTCATTATATCTTTTACTCTTTCTTTATGATTCCATGTAGATTTTTTTCCGCATAATATACTAAACTATTTTGTTTAATTTTTTACTTCCCAAGATATTATTGTAGCACGATTTCCAAGATATTATTGCAGTATAATTTGCTATCAGGAAAAATGCCTTATTTTGTTAAGCAGGAAATACTAAAAATTGAAATTTGTAAGAAGATTCCGAAACCGTGCCAATTTTAGAATCATCTGATTTAAAAAAAAAATGCAATAAAAAATATGCAATTTCCGAACTTGTTTTGATTAAAAAAAAANTTATTGCAGTATAATTTGCTATCAGGAAAAATGCCTTATTTTGTTAAGCAGGAAATACTAAAAATTGAAATTTGTAAGAAGATTCTGAAGTTGTGCCAATTTTGGAATCATCTGATTTAAAAAAAAAAATGCAATTAAAAATACGCAATTTCCGAACTTGTTTTGATTAAAAAAAAAAAAAACGTGGCAAGAGGGCTAACATACTTTTTACAGACTCTGTGAAAACCAATTTTTCCTACATTTCGTCAAAAAAGAATAAGAATGATATTGCTCCAAGGGACCTACTCAATTTCGCTATTTCCAGAATGAAATCTGTTTGATCGAAACATATTTCCTTGAAAATTAAAATGAGGAAAAAATGACTTTTATTATTTATCTAAGCTTATTCCATTTATTTAATGATAGCAGTATCAAGGTTAAGGATATGCGATGGAAGCCCAGTTTACTATTATACTATAAATGCATTAAATCATGTAGCTTGAATAATTTATTTTAAGCAAATTATTTAATAATTTTAAGCAAATAAGGGTGCAAAAATAGACTCGATCAAAATACTCCGAAATTATACCCTAAAATATTTGTAAAATAAACTTTGGAA